CTATAACGCCTATGATATTTATTTATGCCATGTACTTCAGATGGATGAACCTAGAGTAAGTAGCTAAACGAGGCTCTAACCTGTAGCGGGTGAAAATTCCCGTCAACATGGAAACAAATTTGTTGCTCAAGAATTTCACTAGAATTAGAATGAGATTTGACCGAACTTGATTTCTCGGTAATCCGCATTAGTCGACCTCAGCTCAATGGTGGTACTTATTTCAGTGCCTCATGCTTCGTGCAGAAGATATGCCATCATGTTCTGTAGTGAAATTGCGAACAGATCATGGAGTTCGTGTGGGTTGTCTCCGATTCATGAGAAAAACTGCAGCCATTCTACATAAAGTAGCAAACTTTTGTTTATGACATATTTATGATGCTGCTACGTCGTAAGATGCGGGCAACGCTTATCGAAATTAGGAAGTAAATCAGTATAATTGATGTCTTCAAATATCTGACACAATAAGGTATATAAATAAGATTTTTGTTACCAATCCAATTCTCAGAAGTTTGAACGTGAACACTAACGAACGACCGCATAGCAGCGATTCTGACATGCTGACACGGAGTGCGTTGGTGATTAAACTGGAAACAGCATAACGTTTATTTATACATAATGCAACTAATTTACCACTTTAGAGCCCGAGAAACACTGACCGGGTCAATCATCCAAATGTCCAAATTATTTACGTTATGAATGAATAACAAACTTTACTTAATCTCTTAATTATCATAAAATCTTTAGAGAAAAGTTATAACGCTTATTTAACACTAAATACAAGTTCCAATAACCTTAATACTTTACAGAGTAACAGAATAATAATTCGCTAGGCTGAGTTTACAGAGTACCGTGTAACCGCGGGGAAAATAAGATGGGAAAACAGAAAACACTGCCACTCGAAGGAAAAACACCTAACTGGCAAGCTCGAAAACAGATTAGTGCGAACACATCGTAACGAAGCGTCGGCACAGAAAACAAAGCCCCTCCACCAGAAAACTCACGAAACAATACGAAAAGACCACCGGTATTTGACAATACGCAGCATAAGAATGACGTCTTCGACGTGTTATGACTCAGGGTGCCCTGGCATCATCAGAGAAAGACTTCGGATGAAAAGGTGCGTTCTGGACCAGTTAGTAACTACTTAGTTAATCTGAAGACGGACGGAGCTTGATCTCGTCAGTACTTGTTGTAAGGTTTTTTTCAGACAGTAACTCACACACAACAACAACTACGAACGACATAAACGACTTATGAAGCTAACCCACCACTTTGTATTGAAGAAGGCCTGTGAGACAAGGGCTGACACATCGGTAACGATCAATCATATGACCGACCATACTGTTTATGGTTACGTTGTATATAAGCAAACCGCTTTTTGCTATTCCGTCCATATCACAGAACAGGTACCATATCAATGACTTACTACTAGCGAAATAGTCTAATGACCAACGAATTACTGTATATGTCAGCGCTCTGCCACCACGCGCAGCCTCCTTTGACGCTGCTAATGGGCTACTGTGCAAAATCTGTGCAAAAGTTGTAGACTGTGCGAAAGCTACCAAACCGAATTGTGTCAGATGTTACTGAAAGGTTCAAAATTTGGTCTGCGTCGTGAGAAAGCTACAGAAGACCGTTGATGTGAGGTTCAAAGCACAGCAGATACCAGCCTTAGACCGAAAAGCGTATAATCGTGTCATAAATTAAATGGAGTTATATACTTGCAATGATTTCGAAAGTACAACAATGTTTGTATGATCAC